AATCCCAGTATTCTATTTATTTATGTGTGGTTGTCTCCACTAGTAGCACTGTTGGTCACCTTTTCCTACAGATTATTACATATTTATAACTTTGGTTTCACACTAAACTACTTTTAGGGCTAAGAATGTGGCGACTGGCCCTGGACCATGAATACACTGGAGCGGGCTTGGCGTGTATTTATTAAATATTGTGTTTCTAAAATAACCCGAGCTTTCACGGCGGAGAAACCAATCGTTTTGCACAAAACACTTTCCCCCCGAAGGAATGATCAGCACATGAAATCCACCTTTAGAGGGTCAGAGATCTACGTTTTTGGGGATCATTAAGAGTTATGTACAGTTATTACTTCTAAATAAACTCTTTTAATCAAAACGTCTCCTTTTTTAAAAGCAAGACACGCTTCCTGCAGATTTAGTCCAAGTTTATTTAAGATGCATTTTATTTCAAGACAACGTTGAGATGCTGATGTCTTTGATTCACCTAAAATACGACCGTCTCCTTTCTCCATTTAAAGAGATTTTTTACAATTGCTTTATTACCCAGAGCCTTTGAATGCATTCACCAGCTGCAGCTTCTCCTATCGTAACTATCTGAAAAACGTGAAGTGCCTTTTCATAACCCTGAGGTGTTTTGGAGCAATCTTCCAGCTGATCGATCGGGCTCCATCGTTTAGGTATTTGTAGTTTGCAGACATTTAAATGCATAAGCAACACCAAACACATTGATTAGTTACAGTTATTGTTGTAAATGACTCTTAGATTTGGAAATTACACACTCAAAGTAACAGTTTGGCGTTATTAATCCCTATGAAAGCTCCAGGAGGAGTTTCTGGTGGATGAGTGGAAATCAGGAGCAGGAGCCTTTAGCTGATGGAGCCTCCTCTCAGCGTCTTACATGTGATCTGTCCCAGTTTGGTCATCAGCTTTTTGTCTTTCCACTGAGCCACAAACTCGTCTGAGACCTTCAGGTCCACCTGTGATTCAAACACATACGTAAACATGGATTTGTGTCTTTTTTTTTATCTGTGATTTCAAACGAGAAACATCAGCTGGAGCTCACCTGCAGTTTCTCCCACACCTTCTTCTTGGGGTTCAGTCTGTCGTCTGGCTTCTCCGACTCGTATCCTTCCACAAACACCCGCTCCCCCGGCGATGAACCCTCAGGTGGATCGAGAGGCTCCACCCTTCTGGGCTCCCCGTCTCTGGAGGTCCAAAACAAATCATCGAACCAACGAATGCGGCTACGTTTGTTTTAGTCGAGTCGACTCAAGGAGCCACTCACGATGAAGCGCACAGCAGCATGGCCTGGGACTCTATCCCTCGCATCTTTTGTGGTTTGAGGTTACACAGGAGCAACACCGCTCTGTCCTGCAGCTCCTCCTGGGAGACGTAGGCCACCAGCCCGCTGACGACCACCCTGGGCTCAGGTTCTCCTACGTCGATCTTCTCCAGGTACAGCGAGTCTGCGTCTGGATGCTGAAGGACAAAAATGGAGGATGAACATGGAAACAGGAGCATTATGACATCATCGTGTCTGGAACTCACCTTCTCCACACTGACGATCTTCCCCACCCTGATGTCCAGCCTGGACGGCACCAGATCACCGTCATCTCCTCCTGCTTTAGCACCTTTCCCACCAGCTGCTGCAAAACAAGAACAGGTTTGACCACAAAGCCACTTCCTGTCTCGTGTCAAATGGCTGAACACAGACTTGTCTTAGACGAGTTGGGATAGGCTGAGTTGGTCAGTTTGCGGAGCTCAGGAGACTCAAACTTCTTCCTGATCGGATCCAGCAGCTCATTCAAAGCAACTTCCACAGAAGCCTTCAGATCTCCAGGATGGATGGACTAACACGAAGGAAGAGTTGTGACTTTTCTGGTGATTAAATGTGTTTTCAGTTTCTAGCTTGGGCTGCAGCTCACCTCTACCGCAAAGTCCTGTTCCACTTCTTCAAAGCCGGAGTAAACTTTATCTCCTCCCCATTTGGGATCCCTTTTGATGCGGAACTCTGAAACAAATCAATGCATGTTCTTTCAAGATGTGGAGAACCAATGAAAGGAAGTGACAGGAGTCAGATCCTAAACACAAGTACCTCCTCGCAGGGGGAAGAGGACGTGTTTGACAAAAGAAAGAACTCCGTTGTTCTGGATGTTGCCCGGCTCACAGAAGGCCTTCTTCAGCTTCTTCTTCACGTCCTCTTTGGAGTCCAGCAGATCGATCTTTGACTCCTGCATCGATGTAATAAACACCCTCAGGTCTGGAATTGTCAGATCTCTCACTTTGTTCTTTCAGACATACTTCTTCTGAAGAGCTCATTTTGGCTCCCGTCAGTCCTGGCACCATTGGGTTCATCAGATGAGCACGCTTTGCATAACCGAGAGAAGGCAGGTACTGCAGGAAAACAAAACACAGTTACGACATTCAAATGACTTCACAAGATGCAAACACTTATTCACCCTCCTCGGATCTACAATCTGAAATGTTCATGTCAACTTCAGTAACTAAAAAGAAGGACCAGGGATAATCTGAGACCAATCTGAAGACAACAAGATGAGTGTGAGTGTGAGACTGACTCACTGAGAACCAGTCTAGGTCTGGTTTGATGCTTTCTGCAGTGAGGCTGAATATCAACAGCTCAACTTTGAGAATTAAGGTGGTATGGCATGAATAAAACCACCTTAAAATTATGGGTGTGTACTGACAAGATGATAGCAATACGACATATACTACAAACCAGATGATATTTATGGATTAGGACTGACTTTGATTGGAAAACTCAGGTCAGACACCAGATTTTGTAGTTTCCTCAGAATGAAGGTGGGAAACTGCATGCTGCCACCTAGCGGCTGGAGCTTGAATTGCACCACGCTAAAGGAATACAGATTGAATGTATAAAAATAGATACACTGCTTTTAAATATCGATTCAGTATCATAACACATGTTATCGCGATGTTTCAGTGTATAGATATTTTCTTACATCCCTACTTAATGGTAAATGGCCTGTATTTGATATGGCGCCTTCTAGAGTCATGGAACCCCCCAAGGCGCTTTACAACACAATCAGTCATTCATCCATTCACACACTGGTGGGGATGAGCTGCAGTGTAGCCACAGCTGCCCTGGGGCGCACTGACAGAGGCGAGGCTGCCGAGCACAGGCGCCACCGGTCCCTCCGACCACCACCAGCAGGCAACGTGGGTTAAGTGTCTTGCCCAAGGACACAACAACAGCAACAGACTGAGCGGGGCTCGAATCTGCAACCTTCTGAATACGGGGCGAGCACTTAACTCCTGTGCCACCGTCGCCTGCAGGAAAACGCACTCTTACAATGGGAACAACATGGCTGACCATAATTTTGAGTCCTTGATCCTTATCTTTTGGTTTAGCTAAATAATTTTCCTAAAAAAACAAAAAAAAAAACATAAAAATCCTTTTTTTCCTGAGTGTCAATTCGGGGATTTAAAATTTTCCAATGAATAAAAGGTGAATTTACATGTTAAAAGAGACATTTTATGACTTTTTTTCTAAGGTGTGTAGATAACTTGGCCCTCTCACGTTAAGTGATCTCAGCGGTTTCAGTACCTTCCAGAATGAGCTGTTTTAGGGCACTTTAAGAAAACAAGCAGCTGGAGCTGGCCACGCCCACCCACCCCCTGCTCAAGCTGCTATAAGCTAAGAAGCTCTGAAAGCCAGGAGGAGCGCGGAGTAGGGCCGCTGCTCCTCCAGCAGCTCTAACTTGCACATTTGAAACTGCTTCTATTTTAGGCAAATAATCCGTAAGACCGATCTCTGACTAAACGAATGAGTGGACTTTTTTCATGTTTTTAGTGTCCGTAGAAGCAGTAGAAGCCCACATGGCAGCACAAAAGGAAGCAAAATGTGAGTTTTGCATAGGGCTGCACAATATATCGAAAAATTATCGTCACCGGGATAACAGGACATGCGATAGGCCCATTGCTAAGCACGTCAAAAACGGAGATAAATGTTTGGTTCAACATTTCCATCCGTGTCATACATCTACTTTTTGTAAACCAGCTCTGTTTTTTACGTGGAAGTATTATTTGACCAATCAAATGTAGTCCTTCTGATATGCGGCCAATCAGATGGTTCCTTTCACGTAATACGCCCGCCCCCTACGTAGACCCTTAGGATGGAAAGTTAGCGGCACCGTTCCCTTGTTCGTCATGCTGGCTCAGAGCAACGAACGCACTTTGTGCTGAGGTTTCTGGATTCAGCGCTGCTTTCAAACGTGAACGTGAGTCCGCTCGGTGTCGTTGATCATTTTTACCGGGCTGACTCCGACACGTGCCGTTGAACCAACCCACCTTCATGTCGCTAGTGTTCCACCGGGTGGTGATGTTAGCCCCAGGCTCCGGTTAGCTTCCAGCTAAAAGGCTACAGCACTCTCCTCCCAGTCCCACCCTGCTAAAGAGGGCCTGGAAAAGTTCCTCCACACATCAAAGTGATTTTTCATTTATGAGCTTTTATAACCTTGTTAATCAGGATAGTTGGTTTGCTGCTGCACATAAACTGTCAGTCAGAAGCTCTGCTAGCCGGTTATCTTAGAGGAGCTAGTTCAATTTGTTAGCTTGTTATCAGAATCATAGTTGCAGTTTCATCATCCGAGCTGCTTTTTAAGATCTAGGTAAACTTGTTCAATTTGGGGTTAAAACCAAACGTTTTCACATATTTTCCATGTAGTTTTTTTGCCAGTTCCTCTTCTGAAAGGTAGACAATTGTTTTTCTCTTTCCCTCAGAAAATCTTAATATTCTCCTAGTTTGGCCCAGCACAGTTCACTTCCCAATTACAGCAACAGCCTTATATCCTAACCACATAGGTGGAGAAAATGTTCAGTAGCAATGAGAGAATTTGCTGTTGCATTTAAGTGATGTTAACTATTATTTAACATTTAAACTATTTATTCTAAAAACCCTGGTAAGGGATGTTTTTCTGTATTTGGAGCATCAGAAAAAGTTTTATGGTGGAGGTGATGTTTTAAAGTCACTGAGAAACTGCATGCATGCAGTTTGTTGTTTTGCTGCTAATACAGTAGCAGGTGCAGCTGCTAATACAGTAGCAGGTACAGCTGCTAATACAGTAGCGGGTGCAGCTGCTAATACAGTAGCAGGTGCAGCTGCTAATACAGCAGCAGGTGCAGCTGCTAATACAGCAGCAGGTACAGCTGCTAATACAGCAGCAGGTGCAGCTGCTAATACAGTAGCAGGTACAGCTGCTAATACAGTAGAAGGTACAGCTGCTAATACAGTAGCAGGTACAGCTGCTAATACAGTAGCAGGTGCAGCTGCTAATACAGTAGCAGGTGCAGCTGCATATTTTTGCAATAAAAATGTTATGTTGTAATGGAATTCATGCATTAGTTTTTGTTCGCTTTGAACCCAGAGCAGACGTCACACGCCCGACGACATCAACACTGCATACTTTAGTATTTGTTCATTTATCGTGAGTAATATCGATATCGCAATATTAAGCACTGTTATCGAATATCGCAGGTTTTCCTAATATCGTGCAGCCCTAGTTTTGCATTATATGCACCCTTTAAATTCAGGGTTTTGGCCCCTCTGTGGAATATGAAGCACCAAGTTGGAGATCTTCAGAGAAGTCGAGAACTGCTTTATCATCAGTGATGGCTATGAGGCTGCATCATGGAGTTTATTACAATAGATGGAGAAATATTCTAAAGATTAATACTAACTTGATAAAAGTCATTTGCCGCCTAGGATTATAAACGCCGACTAATGATCAGTTCTTTCTAAAACAAGAGCTGCACAAGTCTGTGAAGTGGATCCATCTCACCCTCTAAAATAAACAAACTCCACTTTTTAGCTGAGTCACACTCAGGTGTTTCTCTAAAGGGCTCCACACGTGTCATTAAAACTCATCACACAGCCATAGTGAGCCAATCAGGAGCTGGTAAAAACACATGATCTACCTTTTCAGCCAAAGTAAAAATCTTCCTCTGGTCAACTCCTCCAAACTGGGCGTCCACCTTCAGATGCTCCTCATCCAAAGCCTGAAGACAAGTTTGTTTTACTGCAATCTGTTTGTAAAAAAGACGTCTATTCAGCTGTAAAAACACTGATTATTACTTGTAGTCCAGGATACAGCAGCCCACTAAGCAGAGGATGCTCCACCTGCTTCACCACCTCCGCTCCAGCCTTCTTAGCATCATGCTCTGTCACCATGGACGACAGGCGGTACACATCCAAAGTGTACTCTCTGTCAAACAAGAAAATCACACGTCTACAGCCGACGTACGCTTTGAGAGAAAACAGTAACAATATCAGTCGAGAGCAAAACTAACCGACTGAGCTGAAAATCGGTTCCTTTGACGAAGCGTAGTTTCTCCAGAGGAACACCAATGCTCTCCAGCATGGCTTTGATCACCTGCTCGTAGTACTTCACCCGGAGCTCCAGCAGCTCCCATGGAGCCTTCATGTTGTCCAGGTAGGCGTGCAGGTCTGCAAATAGAATAGTTACCTGAAGAAAAACAAGACACTAGTGTGAACTTTCATAAGAGTGTTTGGGGTTAAACAGAAAAAGATGAACGGTGGAGGGATCTCACCTCACAGCCGGCCCTGAGGAAGTCTGCTATCTTGGACATGGGGACAAAATAAGCCACGTGGGGCTTTCCGGTGGTCGCTGTGCCCCAATAAACCTTCAGCTCCCTCTCCTGAAGGATCTGCTTCACCTTCTCCTCCCCAAGAACCTCCTGAAGAGTAACCAGAGCATTAAGGCTGAGCTGTTTGTTTCTGGTGTGAATCTCTGAAAGAAGGTCTCACCTGAAGGTTCCTGGTGATGAGGTTGTACTTCACTTCTGGGCTGAGCTGCTCCATCATGAGTCAGGACCTTCACAAGTCAAGGTTTCACTTTCTTTTACTCGGTCATGCATGACTGACATCACATCACTTTCGTTTTAAACTATTTTACGTTCAGAAAAATCCATCAGCTGAAAATGTCTTCTTACTCAGTAGTACACGTATAATTCAAGTTCATCCAGCACGGATTTTTTTCTTTCTTTCTTGTGGATCACTTAAAAATCGTAAATGCTATAATTTACTCATTTTAACTAATGCTTACCAGAAAAACCAAATGATATTCGATCAAACCACGAATGAATGACAAAACCGATACTGACCAGTTAGCGACCAAACCATGTGCAGCTAGCTATAGCCAGTGTTCAAATCTGCTGTCCAGATCTTTCTTCTCACTAGCTACACATATTTCACATCCGTATCACTCGAATTATGATCGTACAACGCCAGCGACCTACCTCGAACCCTGAGCTGTCAGAACGAAACGTGGTAAAGAGAAACCGGCGAAGTGGACCAGTCAGTAAGTTGCATCAGCGACAGACTCAACTCTACTATCGATTTACTGCAGGCAAGAGCAATCGAGCCTAGAATCTAGAGTTTAGTGTCGATGGTATCCGCCGACGTAGACGCCCCGTGGACGTCTCTACGTCGCTGCCGTAGAGGCCACCTACCCTAATAGCATCCGGCTGAGTCCAATAATACCTTGCTTTCAAACATACTTCAAATAAGACCGGTAAGTCGTTTTTTTCCTGTAAAGCTTTCAGTATTTACGAGCAGAAAACAACCATTTAATATTAATGTTGCCATTTAGTTTCGTGTCAGGTTATTTTCTCATCATCACACTATATTAGTTAGCTTTTCTTGCGTGAACTCTAGCCGAATGTTGTCGTTTTAGAAAATCAAACATGCTAACTCAGTGTTAGCTTTTATTTGTGTTGCACCGATTGTAGAGTAAAAACATTAGCAGCAACATTTAGCTTCTAATAAAATGATTAAAATACAATTTAGAATCTGGACGCGCGCGCGTATACGCGCGCACGCGCACGCACACAGACACGTACATAAAAGGATTAAGGTAGTGCTCTTCTTCACTTGGTGAGTTCATAGATCAAAGGACAGCAGTTGGTGACATCACTCTTGGTTTTCACAGAGACCAAAGAACAGCATTCGTCAGATCTCAGAGACAAGTCTCTAGCTCACAAACACTCGTGACTCCATTCGATACATACTGTTTCTCCTCAGTTTTCTGACTGTTTGGGACAGATAGTTGAGAATTTCGTCACAGTTTTCTCTTCAAACCCGTCAATATTTCACACGTCTTAAAGATGGAGACCACACAAAGTCTTTCTTGGTTTGAAATCGTAGAACGAGGAGTTAAGGTCAATTATGACGAAATAATTGACTTTTCTCCCAACACAGAGGTTCAGGTCAGTGAGGTCCACCCAAAAGCCTCATTGCCTACTAACTGTGGGACTCAGGGCACAGATCAGCAGGAATCTGGTGAAAAGCTCCAAAAACCTGCTTGTAGTCAGGATATTCGTTCCCAGTACTACCGAAGAGAGACAAACCAGTACCAGCCTTCTGTCAGTACTCAGGATATTCGTTCCCAGTACTACAGAAGAGAGACACCTCAGCAGAAACGTCCCACTATGATCCGCCTCAAAGGTTGTAGGAAAGGGACGGATTCAGGACCCAAAAGTGTCTCCGAATCCCCAAAAACTGCATCTACCATCAAGTCTGAGCATCCTGGAACTCCAGTAATCTGGATGATTGGATCCAGTTACATCAGACGGGGTGAAAAGGCGGCTCAGCAACAGTTTGGGCCAAACTTTGGACTCAGAGCTAAGGTCAAATGGTTTGGTAAAGGAGGCATGGGCTGGGGTGGTGTCCTTCCCAGGTTTTACTCCGAGGCTCGCACACACGGTCCTCCAGATATTCTGGTCGTCCACGCTGGAGGAAACGATCTGGGTCACGTTTCCCCGGTGGAACTGGCTTCTCAGATCCAAAAGGATTTGTCCCACCTCCATAAGGACTTTCCGGAAATGAGAATAGCCTTTTCCGCCATCAACGAACGGCAGTCGTGGGGATACGGGCAACCAGGAAGAATTAACAACAACAGAAAACAGGTTAATTCTTCACTGAGGAGGGCCGTTAGGAGCTTTGGGGGCCTGGTCATCGAGCATCCTGAGGTCAGGTTCTTCAACAACGCTCTTTTTCTCCCAGACAGAGTGCATTTTAGTAAGAGAGGAAACAGTTTGTTTCTGGGCAGCATTCACTCTGTTCTGGAGAAGGTTCTGGCTCAGAGGTGTAACACCTAAATCTGTTACGCCTTAAAAAGATAACAGCTGACAGAAAAGGGCAAATGGACGAGCTTCTCATCCAGCACCAAACCAATGAATAAATAAATAAAAATAAAATAAAAAAAAAAACCAACTAACTCTGCCAGGGTTTCCCTTTTGGGTCACTTCTGCCGGTCCCAAGCCCGGATTAAAGAGGAGGGGTTGGATTATAACACAGAACTAAATCCACAGTAGAGGGATTTTACTCTTAAGAAATAAAATGAAGGCAGGTTATGACATATACAAATATATTTAGTAAACGTCTATAGTTTCTAATCAAACATGTCAAATATAAAACTATTTATTATACAATACAGTACAAACCCTGTTGCATCAGGGCAGCCGACTCTCACCAGAAATGAGCTCGACTAACTGCCGGCAATGCAGACCGAGCTCTGACACCAGTCGTACCGGGTCCTTACAGCCCGTATCAGAGGGCCTGTTACCCCATCCTCCTGAAGTACCCCCCAGAGGGTACGGGCTGTTAGGACCCTGTACCCTACAGGTCCTGTTCTTGACTGGACCTGTAGTCACCTCAACATCTGATGCTGTACAGAAGGAGGAGGACAGAAACTTCAGCAGCGAGCTCTGAAGAAGACTGCAGTAGTAGTTGAATGTGTTAAAGAAGAATGGTGGTGAAGATGACCTCCATCCTACAAAACCCCTCCTACCCACTGCGTTCCACTGTGGAGACCATGGACAGCTCCTTCAGAGGCAGACTGAGACATCCCAGATGTGAAACAGAACGCTACCGTAGGTCTTTCATCCCCTCTGCAGTGAGAGTGTAGAACTCCTCAGTTTAAGCTGTACTGGCATGATCCTGGTACACAATAACACCAATGCAGTATTCAGTATGTGTCATGACTCCCATCCTTCACCCTCCTCTGCCTCCTCATTCAGCTCACCTGGTCCCCTCACCAAGCTCCAGCCAAGCCCTGTTTTCCCTAGCAACCTCAGTCAGCATCACAATCAACTCCATTCATCTCACCTGTTCCTGTAATCAGCTTCATCCACTCCACCTGCTCCTGACTCCTCAGCTCAGCACTCACACCTGCTTCCCCTGCTATATATTCACCAGTCAGCCACCAGTTCTCGGCCAGATCATTGAAAACTTTGTGCCAGTAAATTCTCCAGCCATCCACCCTGCCTGACCTCTGCCTCCGGACCTCGTTTTTGCTCCTGACCCCTGCCTTGTACTCTGCCTGCCTCCACGACCTTCGCCTGTCCTCAGCCTTGCCTCTTGCCTGTTCCCCGTATCTGCATGTCCGATCTGGTTTTGACCCTCGCCTCCTCTCCGACTCGGTCTCCAGCCTCGCCCAACTCTGGTAACTCTGCATCCTAATGAAGACTTTTTATTTTACTCTCATTGTGTTTGGCGTCTTCACGGGTCTTCCGAGTTCTGTTCGTGACAGTATGTGTTCAATATTTGTGCAATTCCGGATTTACATGGTATGTCTGTGTCCCTTACAGCATGCTGCATAGTTCTGGAACCCAAGTTTTTCATTTTTATTTGTAGTTTTTAGTGGTCGAAGGTTACAATAATAGCTTACTGCCTATTTGTTATGATTTCTCTTCAAAAATCTGGAGGTATGAAAACTACTTGACTCATGAGTCAACTTGTTTATGAATTTTTTTTAAATCAAAAACCACCCCAGAGTTGTTACATGCACTGAAGGAAGATACATTATTAATCATAGCAGAAAGTGATTGTTAGAATAGAATAGAATAGAATAGAACAGACTTTATTGATCCCACGGTGGGGAAACTCACGTGTTACAGCAGCACCAGCACTCACCAGAATCATTTGAAGAGAAATAATAACAAATAGGCAGTAAGCTATTATTGTAACCTTCGACCACTAAAAACTACAAATAAAAAAAAAACTTGGGTTCCAGAACTATGCAGCATGCTGTAAGGGACACAGACATACCACGTAAATCTGGTATTGCACAAATATTGAACACATACTGAATACTGCATTGGTGTTATTGTGTACCAGGATCATGCCAGTACAGCTTAAACTGAGGAGTTCTACACTCTTACTGCAGAGGGGATGAAAGACCTACGGTAGCGTTCTGTTTCACATCTGGGATGTCTCAGTCTGCCTCTGAAGGAGCTGTCCATGGTCTCCACAGTGGAACGCAGTGGGTAGGAGGGGTTTTGTAGGATGGAGGTCATCTTCACCACCATTCTTCTTTAACACATTCAACTACTACTGCAGTCTTCTTCAGAGCTCGCTGCTGAAGTTTCTGTCCTCCTCCTTCTGTACAGCATCAGATGTTGAGGTGACTACAGGTCCAGTCAAGAACAGGAGTGTTGCAGGTTTTGATTTCTGATCCCATGGAAATCTGTGTAGAGCTGCGTGAGTAAAAATAAAACATTTACCCACTATTAGACACCACCATGGCCGTATCTACCATTGAGGACATCGAGGTCTGGACCTCTGTAGTTTTTCTGCAGAATATTTAAAAAATAATCTCTAACTGTGCATTTACAGCATTTACTTTTTAGAAAACATACTTGTCTGATTTTTGTTGAATTTTTAAATCATTGAAATGTCTGTAGCTCCTACACTGTAAAAGTTGTTGTCACTATATCATGCCTGCTGGTCAACAGTAACCGGCTCTACGTACTCCAACAAGTACGTTTGTGAAAAAAATACATCTCTGATTTTTCATTTATTTTACTGTAAACTGTAGTGACCCACAAATGGCCCCTGCTGATAACCAATTTCCTAGTACTCTTTATCAGTACTTTCAAAATTTAACAGTCAAAGTTTTTATTTGTGGATCATTAACACTTGGTCGTTTGCATATGAACGTTTTTACGAGGTTAAATAATTTGATCAAAAAAATGCACCTGCTCACCTTTGCTTATCTCTGCTTCTCCAAAAACAAATCACAAATCAAATATGTCAACTGAAAAGGCACCATACACTAAAATGTACCACACACACACACACACACACACACACACACACACACACACACACACACACACACACACACACACACACACACACACTTGACCGAACAATGAAAAAGATTTAAAATACAAAATCAACTCTACCAAAATAGTAATATGTTGCTTATGAATCAAAAGTGAAAACTGTTTTCTATAATGTGCATCATCAATCAATCTTTATTGGTACAGCACCTTCCACTGCCTCTGCAGGAGCCCAAGGCGCTGAACATAAAATACAGTAAAAACACAGATAGCAATAAAAAAGATAAAAACAACATACAGACATAAAAGCACCATACAAAATGTAAACAGGGAGCATAAAAGCATACAAGTCA